AATTTCAGACTTTTACCTTGACTTTTATCGAACTTCATCTGCGAAATATGTTTATTACTTGTTGGGGATCGTCTCTTAAAAACGCTGACCATCTCTGCTGTCATAATTGAATAATAAACGTTGCGCTTGCCAAAACTAAATTTTAAGCTGGCATTTTGATGCACGCTGATGCAATCTTACCCATCAGTCCAAATGCTAAAGAGGTATAATGGGTTACCAATAAATGTTGATAAACTTTAAGTACAACAGCTGTTAGCTAAACAAATTAAGAAACTATTTTAATTACGATACCCAAGTATTAGGTTTATATATAATTGAAGCTACTTATTAACCGGTACCTTGTCGTCGATTTCATCCCACTCTCGTCACCTCCTCTTTTTTCCGTTTAAGTGCACGGTTCACTTGGCTGGAAACCTTTTACCAATAGCTCTGCCTCTACCTGCGCATCTATTCCGCTATTCGTGTGCTGCCTTTTTGTTGGGTTTTTTGCCAAAAGCTTTTAGCCGGACGCATCCGACGGAGCGTGGCGACGTCGTCATCGTCATCGTCATCGTGTAGCTGCATCAAACGACATTTAGCTTGCGCATAAAGTTCACATCATTGCCGAGTTGTTTGCCATGTTAACTTTATTAGTGTGCACCGCTCCTGGACCCCGGCTCCTATTCCACTCCCGATCCCGATCCCGAGCCCGCTCCCCATCGCCGGCAGAGTGCTTCATTTGCGTTATTGATACGCCAGCCTGCTGTATTTCATTAGCCGAACGCCGGCTTGGATCGGCAAGTTTCTTTTAGCTGCTGTGAAATGCAATTTGCCCGCAGCCATCGTGGTGGGTATCGTAAAACTTATAATGAAGTTGCCTGCACATAGACACATCGCACTGTCATAAGCTGCTTTAAAGTGTTATGGACCTCCAAAAAAAAAGTGAACTCAGATAAGAAACACTGTGCAGTTTGCGCCATTTCTTCTGCATTTTATGAGTTTATTCCCTCTAACTTGTCAAAAATGATAGTCTTACCTAACACCCACATCATTTTTTATATGATTTAAAAAATGAATTTTTTTTCCAAAAAATTGACAAGTTTCAACATTTTAAGGTGTGACTGCCATCGGCTTTGAAATTTTATTACGAATTCAACCAGGTATGTCATTCCACATTTGGAAGAGTAGTTCCTCAGATAATGCAAAAAACTGGGTTTTTGTAGCAATTATATAAAATCGAACAAAACAAACATTTTTCAATGGTAATTTGTCAGTTGTTTGGGCAAGAAAAGAAGAAAGTATAGTTCTGGAAACCAGAGAAGCTCAACTATCTATGCTATCTATAATAACGGATTAAACTTAGTAATTAAAAATCATTACTGTGACTGATTTCAAACAATTTATCTTTCAAAAGGATAGGGATAAAGTTATAGGTAAGGCAATTACCCTGCCAAATCGACACTCTGACTAATGCAGTTTATATATTATTTATGAAACAGTAAGGGCTACATTTTACCATTTATTACCCAAACTCCCGCCGTCTCAATAAACCCTTGCAGTCCTCGAGTGGCGGGCATAAAAAAATACATATGTAGCGAAGGTAATAATAAAGCCACGTAAATCGCACGCCATATTGGCCCCAGTCCATAGACAGATGTCAATCACGTGCCCCTTTGGCCGGAGTTGCCTTTCGTCGTTCCGGGGAAATAGAAATGGAAGAAAAAACATAACCGAGGGGTTGGGGTTGGGGTAAGCTGGCTAAACTGCGGTGGAGGGTTCACTCAACGGGGCCAGGGTTGATCTCAAAGCGCATTCTGGTAATGGAAAGGAGCTGCGGGCTCAAAGCAAACAGCGCAAGGAGGTTCCTGCTGGCATTTTCGCATTTCCGATCGGGACTGCAGTATCAAAGCGGGCGCTTGATTGATTTTTTCTCCCCGGCAGTTGCTGGTGGTTCCTGCTTGTTCCTGGCTGTTGGCTGTCCCTGCTTGGCATATCGCGGAATAATAGCCCCCGATGCACCACCACCTACCATCCACCATCCACCACCCAGCACCCAGTACCCGGTATCCACTTGGGATTGGGCCGCGGGCACTTGGCAGGCCGCACTTAGCTGCCGTTGTCGCTGTCGTTTTGTTTGATAACATCGTCTAGCAACGTGTCTGGCAACCCGTGTGACGTAAGCCCAGCACTTTCCAAGGACCCCCTCGACCATACCCATGCTCATACCAATACCCATACCCACCTCACCCTTTACCCCTGCACATCCCCCTTCGCCCACTCATGCATGCACTGTGAACTCCAGCGTTGGCGCCTTTGGCATAATCAGTTGCAAAAATTTGACACGCCGGCAGTGAACGGGCAAAAAGCGCGTTGTTCCCGCGTCCGCCGCCATTTTTCCTGCGCCATTTTCTGGCCCACACACACACACACACACACACTACGGGCATGTGTAAGTGTGTGCGCTTTATTTGCATATCTGTTTTTGATTTTTGTCGCCGGTGGCGTCTATTCAATTTGACGTGCCGCTTGGTTGCTCAGCAGCAGCCCAATGAAATCAATAAATCTGCTCCACCGTTTGAATCCAATTTATCACTTTGCAGCAGAGGGGTTTTTCCTTGCAGCCCCCGCTCTCTCGCAACATTTTCCACTTTCACGTGCAGTGCCACGCCCACCAATGGGCAACCGAGGCTTATCCGCGCGAACGATGTGCATACAACTTTATTATTAGGGCAACGCGGCGTATGAGTGATGTGGGGCGCGGCATTAATGGGCTGGCAATTTCTTACGCCCACCTCACAATGGCTGCGAAACGTGAAACGTGAAACGTATGCCGGCGCCTCAGTCAATAATGAAATTTAGCAAAATATCCGCGCACAAAAGAAGCGCGAGTCCTGCGGCGTCCTGAATTCCACAATTTCTGAGGGGGGAGCTTTGCATATTTTACGGCGCCATCGAGCCATGTGCCGAAATGTTTTGTGCGCGCTTAAATTGCGGAAGTGATAAACAGGCGGCTCCGGTCCAGGAAGCATTTTAATATTTCAAGTTTCACTCGAGGCAGCAGAAGAAGATGCTTTCTGCTGCCTTTCAGCAGTCACGACAATAAAATGAGGAGAAACACAGTTTTTGGTTTATTTTTTTTACATTAAATATATTTAGATGGTTTTTCTTTCAAAATTGTTTTCTGGGCTCCATGGGCGCGACCTCGAAGGCAGGGCGACTTGAGGAGGGGGCTCTCCAGTGAAAGTAAAAGTTAAACAAAATATTGCAGTTGGAATGTGTTCTGGTTTCGGCTTTCTGGTGTCGCCACGCCCCCTCCAATCTCCTCACGCCTCAAAGGTCCTTGCACCATAGTATTTTGTGGGCTGGGGTTGACATTTCGGTTTCGGTTTCAATTTAGCAAACTTCTTACATCAAGTACATTTATATTTCGGTTATATTATTTGCTGCTTGCATTCCGTTCGCTCTGTGTACATTTAAGTTAAAATAATTAAGTAAGCTACATTTAGTTGTTAATATTTAAAAATTACTTTACTCGCTGCCTACTTCCATGCGCTGCTTAGCCGTAAAAAATAGTGAAGACGAACATAACTTCAAATGGCACGTAAAACGAAACAACCAAAATGTATATTAGGCAACAAGAGGAACGCAAAATCTTTGGTTAAAATTTCTCAATTCTTAAGGCTAAATATTAAATAAGTGTTCGTGTCGTTATTAATTTATTACAAGCATTTAATGCATTAGACAGAGTGGCTAAGTCAATCGAATTTCGCCCTACTCTTGAGGCAACTGAAAATCCTTTCACAATCTCTAGCATAGTAACTTCGTGACAATCGAATGAAATGAGTGTAAAGTGGCTGAGTATCAACAATAATGAAATTAGTGCCCTGCTTAGATAGAAGTTTCCTTAGATTTCACTTTTCTTCACATTTATAATTTTTTTTCGTTTTTCGGTTTTTTCGGTTGTGTTTAAGTTCTTAGTGGCTAATCAAAACACTAAATACATTTAGCTTATATCCATTTACTTAAAATAGTTTTGTTTTTTCTGCTTTGCTCACGTCTTATTCATTATTTCGCTTGTCTCAAGTGTTTTGAGTTTGCCCCTTTTTCCTTGGCGCTTTTCCGCGGTTCTGCTTCCCAGCTCTTGGGGATTTTCCCCCGTTTTTCCTGCTGTTTGCTTTCACTTCACTTATCTGCTGATTGTCCACTAAAACTATGCTTGCTCCTTATGCTCGGCGTTCTACTTTTCTGGCTTTCCCTTTCGGCTGCTCCCTTTTTTTGGGGAGTTCAGTATGCAAACTTTACCCCGTTTTTACACAATAAATTTGCATTTGGGCTTTGCTTATTTTAAGTTCTCTTTGTATATGAATTATTAAACACATTAATAAAACTTTTTTTTTTTGCTTTTGTTCATTTTTTCAGTTTTTTTTTAGTAAATCATAGTTTTGTGCATAATTAAATACGTAATAAATTGCCAAATAAAGTGTAATGTGCATTCATACTAATTTGAATGCACGATTCGTCCGCTTTTTTGGTTTTGGTTTCTCTAAAATGACATTACCCTTTCCCCCAGCTTGCATTCATTACAATACAATTAAACATACAGTATTTCCATATAAATATTTTGTATATATTAGCATAATTTACCTTTATATATTCAGTCTTAAGCTACAAAAATCGTTATGCATATTTCTGTTTTGTTTTCATTATTATATCTCTTTATGCTTTTGTTTGCTATAATTTGAATCTATTCAAATAAGTTATATAAATTCGCAATGTATTCATTTTTATTTCTTGTTTTCGTTTTCGTTTTGGTTTCTGGTGCGGCGAAAGAAGGAGAAAAGCAGAAAAGTGTTTTCCCTGGCGGAAAAGTCTGTTTTTCGCCAGAAAAGGGGCGGTGAGGAAAATTCAGGCGACAGTTGAAGGGTAGCAAACAGTCTTACTAACTAAAAAGCAGACTTAAACTCTAACGAGAACTGCGGGTGGCCGGGAAATATAATAATACGTTTACCTATTACATTTATCGACTATCTGCTATCTGCTATCTGCTATCGTCTATCGTCTATTGCCTATCGACTAACGGCTATCGTTGCAACATTCAGCGGTTGTGTTATCTCTGCGTTTGCGTTTATCTTACAGGCATGCCTCATTTAAGTGGTTTTTGGCCAGCTCTGTCTCTCCACTTAAGACGTTTAGCGCTTTCCAAGTTTAACTGTAGTATGTACCTTGCTCAAGTAAACCAAATGTGTCACTATGGCTAACCGTTTAAACTAATGCTATGTAGTAGAGTGTAGTGGTAGTCGTCATCCTGCGGTAAGTTGAGTATCTCTCTTTAAATGAAACGCCAGTTTGCTCGGAGGTTCTTCTTCTTAATCGGTTTCGTTTTGGGCTTATAGTTTCGGTATTGGTTTTCTGATTCTCTTTTTGTATCGGTCTGTGTATCTCAATTTGAATCTGAATCTGCTGCTGAAGTTGTTGGTGAAAAGTCGAGTCTATCATTACAGCTATCAGCTAGGTTTATAGTAGTAAATTTATCGAATTTCGTTACCCTTTTTACATATTTACAGGACTGTAGCTGGTATCTTTCGTATTTCGTGTTGAAGCTCGTTTCCCAAGGGCACCACATCTCCAAGACAGTATGTACAATGCAGAACCAAACGTTGGGGTCACCACTCGGCGGCAACCGTACTCATCGGAGGGAAGCTCCTCCTCCCCAGTGGACATTCAACCTCGGCTGAGCGTCAGAGCCGCCAGGATCGCCACCAGGAGCGGCATACCTTGAACCAAGGGATTGGATCCTCCCATCGACATGTCCTGGCCGACGTTGCTGCGCACATCCATGAGATCGCGGGAGAGGGGCAGCTCGGTGGGATCGCTCAGTTCGTCGTGGCAGGGCAGCATCTCCGGCTTGAGCTGGAACAGCTTCACGCTGATGGCATTCTTGTTGGCCAGGATGTCGAGGGCGTCGCCCGACGAGGAGTGCGAGGTCATCAGCACGTCCACATCGTTGTGACCCACCGGGGTAGAGCCGGCTCCGTAGAATCCCTGCTTGTGCAGACTCAGGTTGTCGTCCAGATCGAGGCCGTGGCCCAGGGACAGTCCACCATTGTTGTCGTCGTAGTAGTCGTATCGCTTGTGGGTGGGCGCCACCGCTGCCAGGTCCTTCTGCTTGAGCTCCTCCTGCTGCCGCTTCCGCCGCCTGCTCATCTTGGACTCCACCACGTTCTCCGCGTTCGAGGCGAACTGCCGCTGTCCCCGGAGAGCCTGTCGCGACCTGCTGGCCGAGTGCTTCCTGCCGTCGTCCAGGCTCAGGCCGCTGTAGCTGCTGCCCACCACGCTGTTGCCCACGCCGCCCATGCTGGCACTATTGCTGCCAATCGCCGTGAAGCCGCCGACGTTCAGTCTGTCCAGGATGTCCGACGGCACGGGGTCCACAAAGTGCGACAGCTTCGGCTCCTGCAGCGTGCAGTGGAGGTCCTCCAGCGAGTCACGCAGCTGCAGGTGACGTGTGCGATTTTTCAATTCGAAGATCCACTGCAGACGACAGTCGCAAATGAATTTGTTGTCTGCGGAAGACAGGTGAAAGAGAACGAGATTCGGGGGTTAAATATAACTTGCACACTGGCGGCGGCGGCGGGTTATCCCTGAAATTGCTTTTGTCAACTCGTCGCCCCAAACCGATTGTCCACGTCCGAATGCCCCACCATTCGCCTGTCTGCGTGTCCGACTGTCTGCCCAGGTGAGCGAATGATTTCCCCCTCAGCTGCTAAGTGGCCGACTGCAACAATTGGCTGTCATTTGATGGCCGATTGCCACTCAAGCTTCAGGGGAACTGGGAAAAAAATCTTAGGAATTAAAATGCTTCGGCATTTCAACTATGAATACTTGTACAAAAGGATTAATAACCCCTTTAAATAATATAATTTCTTTTAATAAACGATATATTCTGATAAATCTAAATCACATAAATTTGTAACCAAACATTGTAGGAATATTAAGAACATGTTTCAATTTATTTCAGAGTTTTTTTCTGGCAGTGCACGTTTCTAAACTCGGCCTTCAGCTTGGCTGAATCCTGGCAGCCGCTTTAAATGATTTTGGCCACGTTCAAGTCCCGAATCGAAGTTGCAGACGAAGTTGGAGTTGGAGCCGGAGTCGGATGTCGATGTCAATGTGGATGTCATTGTCATTGGGGCTGCTCCTCACGTTAAACGCCTCAATGACATTTCCAATTTAGACAGCAGCCTCCTCGCATTCGGAAGCGATTGCAGCCGGGGGTTTTGACCACTCCCGTCTGTTGGCCGGCGTCTGTCAGTCAGTTGGACAGTTAGCTCCGCTTTCCCGGCTTCCCCGGCTCCCCTGACTCCTTGCTCCTCGTTCCCCGAACTGTTGTCAATTATTTTGTAGTCCGCCCGGCCATGCGTGGCCCTAATCTGCCCCAGCCTTCGAGAACCCCTTTCAATTTGCCGTTTGGTTAGAGGACGAGGCCCGACTGGGCTCCAAATTGAGCGGATAAACAAGTGCCAAAGTAGGTCTAATCGCCGACAATGCTCTAATGAATAAATCAAATTACGTTCCAATGGCCTTCCGAAGGAGACTTCTGCCCGGAAAAGGGGAAACGAGGCGATCCCGTCCCCGTGGGTATAATTAGGCCCAAAGCTCTGTGGCACAGTTTGCCCTGTCAACATGTCGCATAATTAGCATAAGCGTTACGAAAAATATTGACTAACTCGCACACACAAAGACACAAAGACAGGACGACATCATTATCGGGAAAAGCACACAGGGAAAACGAGAGGGGCCAAAGACCCATTCAGCCAATTGAGTTGGCATACGAGCCAAAGGGCCAAAAAGCCAAAAGGGAACGGTCCTTTTGCTTCCCCGAATGACAATAATAATCCGAGGCATATTTTTGTAGACCGGCCAAAAACTTGCCCCGAACGACAAAAGGAAACTTTGCTTTGCAAAATAGTTGGCAAATTAGTGCCGGGCGGGGCAGGAAAACTAAGGAAAGCCAGTCAAAAATTCTAATTTTCCATATGAAAGCATGCAAAAACCATAAATAAAGTTAAATATGCACAGCCGGAGGAGAAGGGAAGCGGACTTCACTTGGAAGCCGGTCCGGAAAAATGCTGGAAAAATGGCCAACGACTTGGCAACATTTAGCAAGCAAATTACAACAAAATTAACATGATAATGAAGTGACCCAGCTGGGTGGTGCGGAAAATGCTGGGGAAGTGGGTTGGCGGGATGGAGGGTGGAGGATGGAGGATGTGGGTGGCAGTTGCAGCTGGCAGCTGTTCTCAGCTGACCAAATGACAATGACTTGCCCCCAGACAACGCTCCATAAAAGTGCTTAAAAAAATAGAAATTACAAAAAATATAAAATGAGTGGGTGGAGGAAAGGGTGGGGTGGAGCGAAGATAGGGAGAGGGGGTAGAGGGTTGAAGGCGAGGACACTAGACTGTCGTACTTTGTGTGGCATAAAATACTTTTATATTTTTAATGATACTTGGCCAAAGCGGTAGGAAGTGTTTTGGTCTGCTGCACATACTCCGGCACACACACACTCCCCTCCTCCCCTCTTTTCCCACTCTTTGGGTTGCAATGAACTCCCTCAACCCCTACCGACCACGCCCCCTTACTCCTATATGTATATATGTGTATGTGCGAAATGTGGCTGTTAGTCAACTAGATGACTTTCAACTTTAACAGCTCCTGCTCCTCGTTCTCATCCCTTTAACGCAGCACGGTGACAAAAATGCATACTATATGATCTAATGGCTGCATATTCAGATTAAAGTGATATATTCAAGCAATAAAACCGATAAAAACTTATTAAAATTATAATAAATGAAATAAATTGGAGGTACCATAGTTTACTGATATAAAAATTTCGGAAATGCAAATTCATTTTGAATTAACTTCAAACTCATTTCAGTTGATTTAACAAAATAAATATAAGTACTTATCAATTTAACTTAAACTTCCATTTCTTTCAGTGTCCCATGACGCTTCAGATTTTCCTTCATTTTGGGTGGAAATTTGGGGAGGAAACTGTCGGAAACGTTTTTACGGTTTGCAAAGGACATTTACATACACACGGACACAGAGGGCCGGCCACCTCCACATGCACATGCGTCTGTCTGTGTGTACATTAAATTTTATTATTGTCATTTTCATGGCGCAGTTGGACGGACGGATGCGGAGGAAAGGACCCCTCCTGCCACCCATAACTTTCCGGTCAGCTCTATTTGCATAAGTTCAGCTTTGTGTGTGTGCAGCCAAATTAGACTGGACTGGAACTTTGTTTGGCCAGTTTTAATGCCAGTGTGTCTGTGAGGCGTTTCATGTGTTGAAACATATTCATAATTAGTTGTCAGTTTTGGGTCAGTTGAAGTCCACAGACTATGGACTCCTTTGATTGGCTTTGTTTGCACAAGATGTTGGCTCTTTAAAAGGGTGTTCGTTGCTCTCCTGGTGTTATTTTACCCTGGCTAAAAAAGCAGCAATCCTTCATCATGACTCCTGACAGCCGCTCATTCGCTTTTGCGGACCCTCTAAATTGCGTTTCATTAACATTTATTTTAAATTTAATACACTAAAACTTGAGCTGGGCGGCCTCACAAAAAAAAGCAAGAAAAAAGTTTCAAAAGGAAAGGGCCGAAATTCGCTTTAATTGGTTGGTTTTAGGTGCTGCCCGGCACATTAACCCATGTTTGCCCCTCCGCTCTCTACATATATTGAAAAGCGCAAAGAAATCGCTGCCTGCTGCTGGTTTTTCCCTTCCTTTTTCCCCTGCTTTTTTCGGGGGAAATATCAACACAAATGCCCAAAGTTTCCTGCACGCCCCCAAATCAGCACAGCTGCTGGCCTAGTTTTAGGCCCTTTGTTTCTCCGGACTTTGGACTACGGACAACGGACTTTGGACTACGGACTACGGACCTCGGACTCCGGTCTCTTTCAAATCCCCGCACCCGCCTGTCGGGGTCACCGGGAATCCATGAATGCCGCGCGGCTCTGTTTGAAATCAGCTCATTTTTGGCGGCCCGGCCAACCAGTTGGCCAACTGGCCAACACCGGGCTCTTGGCCAACTGGGAAATGGTAACTGGGATCTGGGTTCGTTTGCGGTGCTCGGGCTTGGTCCGCCTTTGGCTTTCACCAGGGGACAGCACGCACAGTTGCCAGTTACCAAGTTACAGGGGGCGGACTGGGGTCAAGGGGGGCGTGTCGGCGGTGTCCTTGTGTGTGCGAAATTGTGTGTGTGTGTGTGTGTTTGTGCAGTGGTCTGCGCTCTCCGGAGGATTTTATCATTTTTTATTACATTTCTCGAGAGCGCTATGTATGCAAATGAAGTCGAAAGTTTCGCTTTGTATAGTTGCTAGTTGCTTTTGTTGCTGGACGAGTGGGGGAGTTGGTGATAAAGCCAGAGTTGTGGGGAAGGGGGTGAGGAGGGGACGAGTCCACTCATTGGCTTCGAATACTCTTTTGTTGGTCGGTACTGTAGATGATGAATGCAGCAGTTCAATAGGAAAGTTATTGATGCAGCCCAAAAATTTACATTTTTAAGCAAGATGATTTATTGTAAAGCAGACTAAAAAGTAAATAAATTATATTATTTACTAAGCACTTTACTAAAAAAATACCTAACAAGTTTATAAATAAAGCAAACAAGTTATGTTCACACCTTAAAGTTAACCCAGTAAGTTTGTTTAGAGTTCATCCATCAGAGAGTCCAAGTTAGTCGTCTTGAAAGTTTCTATCTAAGCTCGCATTCCGTCTCACTTTTCAGCAAGTTCTTTTATTTGTCCATTCGAGGGGAAGCCTTCAAATTTGTGGACCTTCTTCGTGCCGCCTTTTTTTTAATGAGCTTCATTTTCCGAGTTTTTCTTTGGCTCATTTTATGCTTTTTGTTGCTGGCTGTCGGCTTGTTTTCTGGCTTGTTATGGCTGTGTGTGATTTTGCCGGCTCATTCGCATTGCGTGTATTTAATTTTGTTCGTCCCTTTTGGAATGGTCGGCTGGTTGGCCGGTTGGCAGGAGGTGTGGGCTTCCCCGGCAATTTTCACCAAGTTCATTCAAAATCAAATGGGGTTCCACTAAGTTGGGGCCAAAAAAGGCGGAAGGAAGGAGCAGCCATTGAAAGCCATTTGAATGGCCGTCGCTTTTCTCGCCAATTTTCTTTATTTGGCCAAGTGAATGCTTCGCTCATTGAATGTTTTTTATTAGGCCAAATGAATGCGAGCCGGTACAGGAAGTGGACTAAACTGGAAGTCCCTTTTTGTTTTTTCAGGGGCCCCTAACTTTTGCTGTTTGAAGGGCCGTATAAATATATATATAACTGGTGTGTTGATTTTCGGCCAGAGTTTTGTAGTTTGTAATTTTAATAACATTCGAGTGCTTTTTCCACCGAAAGCGCAGGATTTTCCAATCAGACGCCAAAAGCGGAATCGAAAAAAATTACACTTTATTTCTTTCATATCAAATTATTTTCGGCAATCGAGCGTAAAGTCGAATAAACAGTCGGCAAGATCAAACACACTCGCAATAGCGGCCAAAAAAAAAA